GGGGGAGACAGAAGAGTGATTCAAAGATGTTAAAGAGACAGACACAAAGGTAGAAAAAAGGTGAGGTGAATACTGTGGAAGTAGTCGAATATAACACAGTGGGGTCACGGCAGTTTGAAGTGAGAAGTCAACTGCCGGTTAATAGACTTTTTTGCCGTATGAGTAAACGTTGCCCAGGGTGCGCCATGTGGAGTTAAGTCTATCACACACCCCATTGACGTGGTAAATAGCGCTCTTTAGTCAATATATTTCAACAACGTTTCGACTAGTCATTGACGAAAAGAAGGAAAACGGAAAAAAAGTTGACCCATTTTATTATTATTTAATGCAATTACCAATACTACCAGCCAAAGACCAGGAATCAACCATTGTCTCGATTTTGAGAGACAGTATCAAATCATTGGCTATGAAAGAACAAAAGTTGGTGGGAATTTTTTCTCCGTAACTAAGAAAAAAAAACAAGTAACTTTGGGCCGGTAGAGGTGGGAATTGCTGATTCCTGAATACAATTATTTGAGTAGTTTACTGTACCAGCATATTCTAAAATGCCCAAAAAATGCAAATTTTATTAAATGACACCCGGAATCACGAGATTTCTTTTCCCAAAACAATATTCCACGATATTTTGACAAAGCTATTGAATTATTGGCTTGTACTCTTAGACGCCAAGACTAACAGGCGTTTCAAATCGCAAGCATTCGTTATCATTGCCAAAGGAGGGGGGGGGGGGGGGAAGGTGGAAGGAGAGAATATTGTCATTACTAAATTATCTCCTTCAAAAGAATTCACAGAACAGAAGTTTCCCTTGAACTTTGTTCAAAAGCATTTACTTCCAGTTATGTGACCACCAACTAATACTTATTGATTAGGTTATAAATAAAAAAAATAAACACAGTAAAATTTCATTTTCTTTCACAAAAAAACACTTTATTAATAGAAATCAAATACCTTATTAAGCTAAAAAATATTAATTTTTAATAACACCAAATAACCGAGAGAAAGGTATGATGCAGTAATCTCAAATAAATAGAATTTTAGAAAAAAAAATTTTCCCAAAATTTCGAGTACACTAAGTGTCAAATCGAATTAACGCGAATATCATAACTGTGACTCTAGTGTCTACTTTATATTAATTAACAAAGAATAATTTTGGCATGAAAAAAACGTGCTTTGCATTAATATCTCCCCAGGAGGGAATGAATACATCGGATTAGACAAAGAAAATTGTGTGTCTAGGAGAAGGAAAACAAAGGTAGGCTAGTCCTTCATCGGGGACAACTCAATATGGAAGACCACATTAGCAAACGCAAAGTTAAGACTTTGACAGGGTTGCATCATGGAGAGACATCTGAATAGCAAAGAGCAGATAATGATTTCAAGTCAGCGAGTCAAGTTCCACTTTTATCGAAATTTTAGTTGAATTTACTATAGTCACATTGGGGTGTGCGATAGACTTACCTCCATGCGGTGCACCCTGGGCAACGTATACTCATACGGCAAAAAAGTCTACCAACCGGCAGTTGACTTCTCACTTCAAACTACCATCACCCCACTGTATCTCATATTCCACCACTTTCACAGTACTCACTTTACCTTTTTCTCTACCTTTGTGTCTGTCTGTCTCTTATGCGTCTGAGAATCGCTCTCCTGATCCCCACCCCTCGACTTTCTGCTACTTTGATGAACCTTCCCTCTATGAAACCCGAAGTCAGCTGCCTGCCATTTGAAATAAACTGCTATCACAATGGCAAATTTGTCCTCTCAGACGGCAAGAAGGCGCTTGATAAGACCGGCTGAGAACTCCCTAGGGTTCACAAAATTGAACTCAATATCAACGACGATTAAATATTCATATATCAGCTTGGAGCAAACCGTGACGAGTCCAAATTCCTCCTCTTCTCCTCCACTAATTGGACAAATTCATCTAAAAAAGACCCATGTTCTTAGCCAAAGTGTACCCAATTTTCGTTTCCATAAAAAAAAGTATGAAAGATCGACTAATTACATTGCTGGGTGGGAAAAAAATGATCTCGTTGTCCTGAAGCTCTCAAAATCAAAAGGCCAATTGCGTAAATTTTATATTTAGCAAAAAATAAAATAAAATAAATATTAAAATAATATATATATCATCATTTTAGATAAAATATTTAATGGCCACTTGCCAAATTCCCAGCATAATGAGTGATCAATCGAATTAGCCCAAATATAAAAATGAGTAGTCTAATTGATATTTCCAGGCTTGGGATGTGTAAGCACAGAATATTCAAATGACAAATAGAATTTGGCAAATGAAAAGTGAAAGCAAGAGGAAAGGCGTAAAAATGTTAAAGTGAAACAAAAACGAAGTTTTAATCATTATTATTATTATATAACGAGAAAATCAATGCAAAAAAGAAAAAAATGGCCACACAAAAAATGGATTTAAAATTTCCGACTGAATATAGGGAAAAAGTTTAAATGAAATCGATCCTACTTAGCAGTCTTAACTCTCGCCTGAGCAATAAAAGATCGCAATACTGAAACACCTTTTGAGAGTTATTTTTCCAAACATATGAACACGATGGAGGTGATTAAATGCCAAGAAGAACTCACTAAAAGTCAGTTTTCTTAGCCAACTCGTTTTGCGCTGAATCGTTCCGTAAAATAGGAGGAAAATAGCTCCAAATAAAACTTATAATTGTTATTCCTTTAACTATGAATATTTGAGGTGTGGATGTGATTATAGAGAAGACGCACACAATTTTAAAAATCAAATAACTTCTTACTTGGTTTCAGAAACATCAAAATATGCATAAGCATTCAGTGTTATAAATTCTGCGATCCAAAGTTTTGAATTAGCGTTCTTAGTCCTAAAATGCCCGCAAAACTGTAGAGTCCTCATTCAGAATAAGCTTCATTAGTACAAGACTCATAACTGAAGGCCTTATTGGCGTTTGAAACATGTTCAATATGTGTCTACAGCCTTCGCCTGATACCTCATCAATACTCATCACATCGACAGCATCAATCTGCGAAAAATCATTCAGGCGTTAAAGAGTTAATGGCAGTTGCACCTATCTGATAATAAACTTCTAAACGGATCTTTCAACGCTCTAATACACACCAAAAAAGTACTTAACCAATGCTTCAATTGGGAACTGCTATTTAATTAGTCTGTACTGCCAATCAAGTTGCTTGTTTGTGACAAAAAGGAAAGAAAACTGAACAACCAGGACTCTTAATCAGGAGATAAATTGAAGGCTATTCCATATGCTATCGAGTTTTTCGCCTCACTTTTTTCATGAAACAATTTACCTAATGCACAATCACTTTAAGCTAGCCGAATAGCAAAGCACGTGGTGAGAGCTCCATTCAAAGTAATTTACGACCTTACATATATCCTCACCCCCCACCCCCCACCCCACCCCCGACCATTGTAAAAAAACATGGTCACTCTTCCCCAAAGTGAAATTATTCTCTAGGGAGAGAGAGAGAGAGAATAATCAATCCTTGGATCTCGAGATTGCTCAGCCCTACTGTTTATTACATTTCACAATAAATCCTATAGTGAGAATAAAAGGATCATAGAACCAATGATCTGTAAGAAAGTAAACAAAAATTCAGGATGGCCTCGTAATCTTTATAATCGCCGTATTTGCAAATAAGTAAGCAAACAAAAAATAATATGCTCCCATATTAAGTAGTAGTAAATCTACGTTGTTTGGATCAGGATAGGGGCAAACAATATGGATTATTAGCATTAGTGATCATTCCTAGTTTGGATCCAATCTCACTTGCTGTCAAAAAAACTTGCATCAAATTACTCATTTCATTAATATTTAACTGGGGTGCCCAATAGACTAACCACCACGTGGTGTACCTTGGGCAACGTATACTAATACGGCAAAAATGTCTATTGAACGGCAGTTGACTTCTTACTTCAAACTACCAAGATCCCACTGTATGTCATATTCGACCCCTTTCACAGTACTCATCTTACCTTTTTTATACCTTTGTGTCTGTCTGTCTGTCTCTTTTACATCTGTGAATCACTCTTCTGTTTCCCCACTCGACTTTTTGCCACTTTGATGTTCCTTCTCCTCTATGTGAAGCCCCGAAGTCAGCTCCAGGGCTAATGATAACTATCAAAGCGCCTGCCATTTGATATAAATAAATAAATATTTAACTAATCGATTGACTCAACCTTTGTCAACTATCTATTGGCCCTTTATGGTGTCGAAAAATCAGCCCCGATTTGTTACAAACACTATTCATGGCAAGAGGTATACTTGGCTCTTCTTTTACCATCTTTGCTTGGACAGATAATATGGGACTGGCAAATTTAATAATTTAGAAATGGTGAGTTTAGATTACTTAATGATTCATGATTAGCAGTTTAATGCTAAGGACCCGTAGAAAGCACTAATCCTACCGTCTTCGTGATATTTCTGCAATTTGGTCATTGTAATGTCAACATAAAAGGGAATTAAAATCCCCACCTTCGTGAACAGAAGGCAAGGCCTTGAATAAGAAGCGTGTAGTAATTGCAATCATTCTTACTAAACGCCTATCATAAAACGTCAGGACAAAGACTGAGGGTATGGAAAGAAACAAAGGACAATTTTTTAGAAGAGCGCACAAATAGTTCATCGGCTTGGATTAGAACTTGATATAGGCCATCAAAAGTCCAATGACGGTTCCAATTAACCCAGTGCATATGAATAAGTCTGGTTCAGAAAACGAACGTCAATTTGGTATCAGATATATCAATCATCAATTGATCTTTCCCTACTCCCAAGAGGTGAGACTGAAAACGATTAGAAATATTTCATCCATAACACTTAAATTGAACTGGGAAAGATAGTTCACAAATTGCACTCTCTATGGGTCACTTTGGTCTTACTTCTAATGAGGACACAACAAATGAAATGAAAAGAAAAAAAAGACTCAATTACCTCTGAGTAAGCCAGGTGCTTCCAGTGGAAGGAAGATACCAGCCAGCGCAGCAAAAACCCTCTCAACAGATGACTTCCCAGATTCATTTTTGCCCATTTTGTAAGTCGATAGAGCCGACTAGAGGAGGGGGGGGGGGGAATAAACAGCGCCATCAAATAGCAACCCATTGGCTAAATTAACCTTCGCTTCATGGGAGAGAGATAAATTTACCTTAAAATCTTCAAAGAGATTATTCTCACTTGCAGCGCCATTCCGATTTAATATAGCCCGAACGGAGGAGATGTAGTCTGTTGGAGTAGTGTTGCCAACTTTGGTAACCACGTTGCCACGCTCTTTGATAAGTTTAATGCGTTTTGACGCTTGATGGCGCTCCAGTAAACGCTGATCTAGGTCATCGTTGGTGGAGTTGCTTTTGCTATTGCTTAGTACAGAGGCCTTGGCATCATCGAAGAACGGCCTTTTGTGACGGAGATCTGAGGATATCTGCCGAAGGGAATAGGTAAGAAAAGGTATTAAGATAGCAATAATAATAATAATAATAATAATAATAATAATAATAATAATAATCTGAGTTAACTCTGGTAATGAGAGCAAAAACAAATCAAATCAAATAGTCACCTCGAGACAACGCGACCTCAAAGCAATGCCCACAATCCTAGAGGCTCAATGTCAAACGTTTAAAATGCTGTTTTCGATGTGCGCAAACAGAAAAACAAGATATTCTCAATTTATCCAACTTTAAAATGTCCCCCCCCCCCCCCCCCCCCCCCCACCCTCCCTCTTTCTATGTTTGCAACCACTAAAAGGAAGAGGACCCATTATTTCGTCATTTAACAGATAGTAATAATAGTAACTTTGCACAGCATACTATTTCTCCATTCTCCACGTCAATGAAACAGAACATTCAAAGAACAATTCCATAATTTTGTCAGCAACAAAGGATCTTAAGATAAATTAGAGTAACGGTCATTGATTTCGGGCCTAAAAGCCAAACACGATGCAATCATTCTACTTCAGCTGGATGACTAATTTGGAGGCGTTAAACGCCAAAATAATGCCCCTCTTGCTAAAACAACCTTTAAGTTGTTGTTGGACGACTAAAAAAAAACCGAGAAACGCAGAAGTTTGTCAGGCAAACACTCGGCCTCCACATAATTATTCCAATTTCAAGGCTGCGAAAGAAAATGGTACAGTTGACAGAAACAAAACTTACAATGTCAAGAGAGAGGAGATAATGTCTTACTAAGGTGAAAGTAGTTATAGAATTTCACAAAGATCGCCCTTACTTCAATGCACCTTGATATGAAAGTAGGGTAACCTAATGTCAAATCGTAAACTCCCATACCAATACGACCTCGCAATAAATAGACGGGCCAATGAAAACCTCACCAATAAGTTAAAAACCGGGGCGTGTGATAGGCTTACCTCCATGTGGTGCACCCTGGGCAACGTATACTCATAGGGCAAAAAAGTCTATTAGCCGGCAGTTGGCTTCTCACTTCAAACTACAATCACCCCACTGTATATTATATTCGACTACTTCAACAGTAATCACCTCACCTTTTTTCTACTTTTGCGTCTGTCTCTTTTAAATCTTTGAAATACGCTTCTGTTTCCCCCCCCCCCCCCCCCCTCGACTTTTTTTCACTTTGAGGTTCCTTTCCCTCTGTAAAGCCTGAAGTCAACTAAAGAGCTAATGATAATTATCAAAACGCCTGCCATTTGAAATAAACAAATAATTTGAAAACCATGGTAACTACCTAGAGCAAGTTAACCACATTCTGAAATTGTATAACAATAGACACATTTAGGCCAGTAGTAGCGATAATTGTACTAAAATGAAAATCAGCAAGTTTGTTCGTTCTGAACGCCTATTGGAAATGAAACTAGGGACTCATTTTACAATAAGTCCCTTTTATAAAATTAGTAGAAAATACCTGTTGACTGCTACTGTTGCCACTTTTATAGACTCGATCCAGTAATGAGCTAGAAGACGAGGCCTCGCTTTTCTTAGACTCCTCCTCTGTTGATACCTCCTGAGTATCATTCTGAGAATAGTATTCCGTAAGGAAATCACCACTTTCTGGCTGCGAAGCCAAGCTTCCTGCATACGTCTTAACCTACAGAGGAGTAAATTAATTTATCGGAATTCAGAAGCTCACATGATCTGCAGCGCTAGGAAATGTAATTCGACCATCTTCTAGAAATCTACTAGTGAGAAGGGAGGCACGATGTACTGTTGCTAATCGCCTTGGTGGAGGTCTCGAACTACCTTTGATAACTGCTGGATACTGAAATCAAAAAAACGAAGTGATAAAGCGTTTCACAAGGAGTTCATCATCGTAATATATTCGTTACCTTTGCTTCAGCATTACGATAGAATTCCGTGGTCACTTTAACAACAGGACCAAAGGAGTCAAAGACGCGGATATTGGATTGCATCCACGCTGGAAGATGTGATTTAGCTTCTTGTGATGCAAATCGCTCATCACAGAGGAAAATCATACCGTAGTCCCGAATGTGACGAATCACTCTATTAAATGAGATTAGAAAATACTACTTACTGACTAATTATAAGTAGTAGTTAATTGAAAATAGCACTCACCTACCAACGGCCTGATTAACAGCCCGCCAAGCTTGTAACTTGTACCACTGTCGTCCAGTGGGCATTTCGACTTTCTTCCCAACAGAAGTTTGCTCCTGTTGTTGTTGTTTAAAACGTTGCTCATCAAGAAAAGCCATTTTAATTTTGATGCGTGGATCTTCACGAGGAGGGTAAGCGATGCCAACAATGAAAACGGCGCGAGATGTGTGATCAGTGAGATCGAGACCTTCGCTGACCTTGCCACGCATTACCGCAAAGAGGGCCGAACCGCCTCCACTGCTGGCGGCTTCCACATAACCTGTGGTTATCTATCAAGAAATAAGGATAATTTAGAGAACTCAAAAATCATTTTAAAATTAGTTAAATAAAACTATACTGATATACAAGGCAAAAAACTTGACCATGTAGTCAAGATCACGGATACTTTCTTTCCAAAAGAATGTATAACGAAAATGATGTAGATCACGAACGACACTCCGTTTTGTTTATAAAATTAAATAGATAAATTTATGAAATAAAGTCCCTTCATAAGAGTGATGATGAAGGATTCATTCAGCACCGGAACAATGGCAGTTTTGTTCAGACTGCCTATCACTATATCAGTATTAGAGTTTGTCCATAAACTGGTAAGAATGTAAGGAAGTTTAGAGGTCACCCGCGGGAAATGGATTACTCAATCCAGAGATATAGCTAGGATCCTGTAAAGTTGAGTAATTTTCGTTAGCATTTCATTATAAGACAAGTTCCAATTGTGGATAAACTACGAACTAGAACGAAGCAAGAGCGTATTACGAAGCCATCAAGTTTAACCGCAGCTTTCAAATGATATATTCCACTTCAAAAGCTTATCTGCTGTGACTCTTCGATAAGACCTTCAAATTACCAATCTAACCAAATAATTGAGCTATTTCAATGCACGCTCTTTGCCTTTCTTCGTTCCACAACCACTACAAGCGTAATCAATAGAACTCGAGTACATTCAAATGAGGACCAAGCTCATTAGTTAAGCACTCTAGTACACATTTAGGTTATATAATTATGCTCAATTTTGCCAGGCTTTGACACATTTGAACATGAGGCAACTAATAGTGGGTTCAATGGGATATAAAGTTCCTTAATTATACAAGATACCATGTGCAATAATGAACTAAGTTGGGAATGTGTTTTAGGGATAAATTCTTAGCAATCGTGTCTGCCCATGTTTCACTCATATAGTAGGTACTGGAACATGATCCTACCTTACCAAGACATTTTAATACAGATAATAATAATAATAATCTCTTAATTTAATAAATTCAATTAACAACGCGACCTGCCAATAAGAGCCAATTTTTGAATAATTAGAAACGGAAGTTATCTTTTCAAGAGGGAAGATAGGGATGAGCTAACCTGTTGAAATTGATTCTTATCACGAGGTTCAATGAATGTCTTCTTGGCATCCACCAGTCTTCCATAGATATCACAATTCTACCAAAAAAAGTGTTCAAGAAAACCTCAAACTCCTTGAGTCAATAACAACTACACTGGAGAGAAATCTCTTCAAAAATTCCCTCACCTGCCAGGATTGAATGCAACTCTTCATGAGAGCGTAGGACGGAAAGAAAATGAGAACACCACCCGGGACAATACGGAAGAGATTCACTAAGATAGCATATTAAACAAAAAAAATAGAGAGGGTGAATGGCAACACCGAAATACACGACAAAGCACTCATACCCAAAGTGAGTCCCAGCGACTTGTGATATGAGGCGTTTCCACGATATTCATAACTTGAATTCAACATTCCACTATCGGGCGCTTTTGGAAGCACGCAAAGTTGAATTTGATCGTGGTTAATGACGTGAGGATTTTGGAGCACAATTGCTGAATGTCTGAAAATAGGGGAAATAGAGTAGGTTAAGTTAGAGTAAAATGGAATAAAAACTTGGACTTACAAATCTAATTCGGCTTGAAGAGATGATATAGGGTAGAGGGTACCACTGGTGAGAATAATGTTGCGAACGTTCAGTGACAGCAATTCGTGCATCGCTCTAGAAGACAATAAGGGTAAGTTGTAAAGTTTAGTCAGATCGTTAGCTTAGTTAACACAAATTTCCCATTTCAACGATTGATTGAGGTGAACCGGTTTTCTTCAATAGCTTAAGACTATACTTAAAAAATTACGATGGAAATGGCATTTGCTAAAAGAGGATTGAAAATCCAATAATCACAGACCCATAGTAACTAATGTACTATCGATTAAAACTGTCTGCAAAATTAGCAAGATTTGGCAGGCAAGGACAAACGAATGAAATTTTTCACAAAGTAAAAGTTACCATCAGAAACCATTTTGAGTAGATACAAAGATGAATGGTAAATCTGTGCACAAGTCTACACTAAGAAGGTGCGATATTGATCGATGTAACAATTATTGAACCCAAATTACCAGGAGTGATTGACTTTAAATTGGCTGAGACAATATATCAAACAGATGCTAAATAGGTTTTCGGTTCAATATTCTGATTAAAAAGGCCTGTTGACAAGAAGAGTTAACAGAATCTGGGATTTGAACTTTGGGATATCAAATTATAACACAGTGGGACAAAGCAATTGGATTGAAATGTAAACGTCCCATTAAAGTAAAAAAAAACTCATTACGCAAAGTCATTTTAGCAAAGTCAATTTTCCTTTCTACTCTTAAAAACTAATCCTCTCCAACCTCCTTCCTTAAACCTTTACATAAACCAAAGCATTTTTCTTCGGCTTCAAACGCTTCCAAATAAAGCTTTGCGAGAGCTCCAGCTTCGCCTAATTGAATGAAGAAAAAGTAAACTTAGACCGAAAAATTGATATTCACCTAAATGGTCAACTAAAAACCATGCGTTTACTCGTGTGTAGGGAATGGATTTACACAACTAGATTATGATAAAAAGAACTCACTTTCCCGGAGTGAGACACCAGTAGCTGAGACAGACGTTTTTAGTGAGTTTGGTGGAGCCTCCTCCTTCTTCTTCCCCAATCCGAATAGGATTATTGCCCCAAACGTCTCCCGTCGTTGCCGCCGCAGTCTCCCGAAAGAGTTGGGCCATGGGTAGCTCCACTTTTATATGCACTCGGAAACAACTCGCCGAGCGTTGGCGGGAGAGGAGGGAGAGAGAATTGCCGGTGGTTTTATCCGAAAAGACTTTCTAGAAGTCACCGACCAGCATTGATTACCACAATCTTCAATTTCCCCACAAAAGCTCTTTGTGTGGGACTAGTGTGCTGGTCAAATGGTGAATTACCCATTAACTTATGAGGCTTAATAAAATTTCGACTCCAGTAATGCTAATATAAAGTTTTTGCCTATGCGTAAGTGTATCTCAAATTGCGTGCTTCGGACATACTAAGATTATACTACTTATGAGCACCCCAAAAACTCGATATACAATTAAATCAAAATGCAAGTTCCACCCCCTCCCAAGTTTAATGAGAGAAAAAGAAAACTTTTACCTATAGGTTAGAGATTCAAAATTTACCAACCCAAACTCCCTTTAAAAGCAGACTGAAATGGCGTGTTTGTTGATTGCAATGAACTTAAGTCGAGCTGAATAACCTTCATGACCTAACCCTGTTTGTGCTGTTTGAGAGCAAAATAGCAAACCGATAAATATGTAGAGGAGCTTCAAGTTAACCACTTAATTTAACTTTGAGACAACACAGTGAGCCGTATTTTTTTCAAAACGTGCCATTTTATTTCAAATTCTACATACCTGTAGGAATTCAGCCACATGTGATAATCCCCGACCTCTCCGAAATTTGGCAACTGGGGAAAAATAGAATGATTAGAAAAGGAATAAGATTGGACCTAGCAAATTATAAACCTACTATCCATAGATATTGACGCTGCAATGACTTGATCAATAAGTTCTTGTGTTTGAGCCTGATTTCCAGGTGTGATTCCAGCTTGGCCGAGAAACTCGAAAATATACCTTTGAAGATAAAAACCGCATATGTAAGATGGTGAAGAAAAATGCCATGCTTTTTGTTTTCTAATAAAGCGTTGAATAGAGAAGTGGAAAATCAGGAAGATCAAAGGAAAAATATGTAATTTCGCGGATGCCGAAATGCAGAGCCGGACATATAGGATCCGAGTGCACACTACTCCTAATTTGCAGCCGACATATCTGAGTCGATGACAGCAAAGACAAGCGCGGAGAGTGTCTGAGTCTCAATTCGGTGATTTACTAGTGTGCTCCCAAAGGTGCATTAACATTTATCCCTGATCTCAAACTATTTCTTTGACAAATACAGAGGTAATTGATCAAATTTATTATTCTCCACCTCTCATCATCAAGCAACAATCACCCGATTGTCTCAATCTCCAATTCGGAAGGAAGGTAAAATCCACGAAGGTCACGTGGAAGTGACAAGAGCTAGCTTTCAAAAGATAGTTGTCGATAACTTACTCTCCAGGTTTAATTGTACCAGCATCAGAAGCTGCTTCACCAAGTCCATCAAGAAGTCGTTCCAACTCAAGTAATTGTCCCTTCAGCGTGAGGAGGCTAGACAGACCAATAGATTGAGCTACAAATGTAATGACAACAAATGTTAACAATTTATTTAAGTCCTCTCATACACAGCTACAAATAAAGCAGTCTTCACAAAGATAAAAAAGATTCTTCGATGGATAGGCGAATAGATCCTATTCTAACCCCCCCCCCACCCCACCCACCTCCTCGCAGTATTTACGTCCATTCAAAACAAAAATTGCTGCATGAAAGAAACCCCAATGACCTTGATCTGATGACATTAGAATAGTATCGTGTTAAGCTGTTTTTTTACTACTTAGAAAGAACCGCTACAGTATTCACAAGCCTCGAAAAAATGTTGCAAGCATTGCTAAAGACTCCTGCAAGGTCTATAACAAAATTACTGGGTAAATAAGAGGGAAGTTTTCCCAACATGTTCCTTAATGTAAGTGCATTTTGAAATTGACCCAGTTGACAATCGGAAATTATACAAGTATGCCACTATGGGCCATCAAAGGGTGATCTCCAATGGCATTTCTAACAGACAAATATAAGGTACACAATAACATCTATGGCATTATATATGTATTCTATAAGAAATTCCATTTCATACAATGCAACTCAATGCCTTAACTGCATAGCATGTAATGGTTATCGCAATATTATCATTTCAAATGGCAGGAATTATGATATTTATCATTAGACCCTTAGTTGACTTCGGCCTTCACAAGGGAGGGAGGAGGAGCAACATATACATAGACTTTTGGATAGTTAACAGTAGTTCATTAGTTCCCTTCTGGCTTCCCAATATCTATGGGTTTCTGCCGTGGAGCACCCTAGACAACGTATACTCAAACGGAAAGAGTCTATAACTCGACAGTTGATCTCAAATTATTTTACAAATATAAAAATAGAAATCACCCGCATTGTTAGAAGGTTCAGTAAGATCAAATTGATTTTTTATGCCACCGGCAAAAGTTTGCCCCGGAAAACCGTCAACACCTTCCAATGCATCCAAGCCACCTTCATTGCCAGAAGTAAGATTGAAAATGTACTCTCCCATTACACGCAATTCCTCAATTGCCGAAGCCAGGGAGGTGGAAGTGAGAGTGGCCGAAGCGGCGTCTTCGCATACTTGTTCCTAAAATTTTTGAGCACGAAATTATTATTGGCATTATCATTGCTACCCAGTCCCTACTAATAAGATTTTGAAAGTGAATGCCAAATTGTCCATGTTACCTAATCTAATGAAGATGAAACTAGGGTAACCTGCCTCTTGGAAATATTTAGAAGCACTCAATAATGCTTACTTATTTGTATTTCTAAGGGAAAAAAGCCATATGACTACAAGAAAAACCCCGAAATACACGAGAGACTAACTCATATGGTAATAAAATCAATAAACACACAGTTGACTTCTGACTTCAAACTACCATGACCCGACCGTATGCCATATTCGACCACTTCCACAATACTCAATTTACCATTTTCTCGAACTTTGTGTCTATCTCTTTTACATCTGTGAATCACTCATCTGTTCCCCCTCTCGATATTTTGTGACTATGATGTTTCTTTCCAGAAGCTCGAAGTCGACTAAAGGTCTAATGAAAACTATCAAAAAGCCTGGCATTTGATAAAAGAATAGTAATTCCACTCTCTAGCTCATGTAGTAATCAATTGATACAGAATAGAAAAATAGTTGTGTGAAATTAGCTAAAAACATCACGATCTTTTAAACACTCACAATATTATGAGCCTCATCGAAAATCACGATTGCGTTGGTTAATTCAATACCATATAGACTTCGAATCTGAACGAATTGGGAAGAACATTTGAAGGTTAAACTCGCATACCTTAACATCGAGAAGGTAATTGTAAGGCATAAATAATATTTCCGCGTCTGATTTAAACTCTCGTGAAAGGTAATAGGCGCAAGCTCTAGGGGCAATATAAATAAAAAGATGCGAATGTGTAAATTAAGGGAAACAGAATTCCGAAAATAAAATTACCTATTATCTCGTCCAAATTTGCATAGATCTTCAATGTCAGCAATTTTAGATGTTCTCATGGAGTCTAAGAGCTTATCACGACCAGCTAAACGAAAGTAAAAAAGAAGACACGGACAAACCATCAAAGTTTCGAAAGTACTCGCATGTACGAGTTGAAACTCGAAGTCGACACTGGTAGACTTTTGCGGAATTAGATTCTAAACTAACCACTTCAGGTAGCAGGCAAAGCTGATCACGAGAACCCAGTACACCAATTTTATGACTAAAAAACCTCATTAAAGAGAAAACAGATAGAATTATACCTTGAATAAACAGTATCCTTAAAGGCCTGTACAGCTTGATTAAGTTGTGCGTGAGTTCGAGATGAGAAAATGATGAGAGGTGCGTCAAATTTACCCACTGAAAGCACTTGATCAACCGGTTTAGAATTCTCCCAGGATTGGTCGATTCGACGCAATTGTTGTTGAGCAAGAAAATATTCCAACCATCCAAGTGAAGCGCAAAGAAGACAGAGAGTCTTTCCTGTGCCAGTAGGAGATTCCAAAATTGCATGCTTTTTCTAAGGAAAATATTAAGCTCAAAATTGCAACAATTTTTGTAAGATAATTTAAATAATTGGACGTAATAAAATCAATTTACCTCGTTCAATGCGTCAATAACTGCCTGCATATAATTCTTTTGACACTCATATGGAGTATACGGGAAATCAATATCAATATTACCCAAAGTAACACACGGCATAGCGAAAACGTAAAACGCCCCAAAATTTATATTCAACGGGGCAAGTATATGAAAATCTTCAAGGTTAATTATTGTAATTTTTCATGCATAATAACAATAAATTTACATAGAATCAGGCGCATCAAACTGTAGCAATGACTTTTGAAAACATTTTGACTATTATCTCTCAATGAGCTTGTCAAATTTTTATAAATTTTAGAGGGGTTTGTTGGTTTAACGTCAATAGCAGTCTCAACTACGTGCGCCTCAAAGATATCCATCCACTTTAGTAATCGCATGGCTCTTCTCATCATAAAATTATATCTGATCGATTGTGCTTCAAAGAATATATTGCACTTTCAGAATATGGTACCTTTCTAACATTCAGTTACGTGATCTTCAGTCATAAGTCTAATGGCTTAAACCTGCACAAATTAACGGTCTTTGTATATTTCCATAACTGTTTCGTAAATACTCCCAACAAAATAAAATATTCATTTGGAAGGATATTGTATGACTTTGCTTCTGAAGAGAACTTTGTCAAATTATAAAACTTTGTTTATAGGCATTTTAATTAAATACAGCTTTTATAACCAATTCTGTAAGGTAAACAGAGGCAAATTCCGATAATCGGATTTTTTCCGTATGTGAGTGCAGTCGTGAAATCGAATACTTCATTAATTATTGCCTTAATGGGCAGTACTTTCGCAGATAAAATAAAATCTACCCAGGAATTTGCACCTTTAAACTTAAATATAATTTAACTAATATTTGTATTCAATATTTAAATAAGCAATTGTCTTACCATTTGCAGTCTCCGTTTACCAATCTATATAGTAACCTCATAATTGTTTAAATTCTTAAATATTGGGAGCGGTCACTGAAGCACAATTGAGGCATGTCCCGTCATAGGCGTGGGCAGCGTCTGTATTCGGATGATTACTGCGATTATGATAGCATAATTCCAAGTTCAGTTGAGGAAGATAGTCCTATTTCGCGTAGGTGTTAATCTTTTTATTGACTCTCAAATAGAACACATATACCAGTCCTCTGATGCCAACCATAGTTTTCAGCCTTTTATACCTCCAGTTAAACAACCTCTAGATTTTACGGAATCTGACTTCCCGGAAGTTAACACGAATGGTTTGTTGTTTATTTTCACTTCTGTCTAACCTTTACTAGTGATTAATGCTTCAGGAAATCAAAATGAAACCGATAATTCTGGAAATATTGTTGGTGAATTTGACAATCTAAATTTAGAAAACACAGGTAAATGCCCTTTCGAGTTATGATAGATTATTAAGATTATGCATTTTCATTTGGAGATGAAACCACAGCTGTTCATCTTGATGAAATGCAAGAATTGGATATAGGAGTTTTGCTAAACATATCCAAGGCCCCAGGATCACCAGATCTCGTTGAGCGAAATTCTAGACCCTCAGTCATTAAGTCAAATACTAGACCAGAACTAAATGTTTTAGCTAATGTGATAAAATATCGGACTGAGGTTCAGCCTATTTCTGAACCTTTAAAGGTTGCCTCTAAGTTAGGCGTTTTTTTTAACCAAAGTCGTTCACTTGGCCGATCAAATAGCAGTCGATTTGATGCCCTCCTGGTTCACGTACACCGTCCTTCATCATTTGTCTTTTTGCATAATCCTCCTCAGCACTGTACTGTATTTAAATTCGACACCGAAATGCCTCTTATCTTTGATAATCTTCCTCAATCCAAACCATCCGTACCGCCTCTACCGAAACCTCGCTTGACCTCAAAAGCACAACCTAGTGAGCCCATAATATCATTCGAGTTTTATTCGGTCATTATGAATTTTTCTCGTCAAGGACTTATCGCCCAATTTACTTTTCTTTATAGAATCTCTTCGAGATTTAGGAAATGGAAAGAAATGTAAGAAGTAGTTATGCTTTATTCTAGCTCTATTTTGTCGTTCTGTGTCGAAATGAGCGTCAATTAGTTGTGATTTTATTAGCCCTTCTTCAATATTCTGGTGATCTCTTACGCCTATTCTTATTGTGGAAAGGTCGTAATTGAGACTTGACTGTATATGGTTTTTATTGCAGTAATCATAGAAATTTACTTTTTTTCCGTATTGTTGTGCCAACTTTAACGGTTTTGTATCCTCTTGTCTCACTTTCTTTTTATCCTCCTCTTAGTACGCCAAGTTACTCAGGGGATGAGTGTACCGATCCGCGGAATTCGATTGCCAAAGGTTGTAAATGATGCAAAAATAGCAACGCCGCCTCCCAAACCTCCCGACCGGTCAACTTTGCTTAAAGCTTATGAGGAGAAAATGACCTCTGGTAAAGAAAAGGAAATAATTAATTTGGTCGTTGTTGGTACGTTATTTCTACTTATTGCATTTTTACTATTAACGCTATTTCAATAATATGTTGGGCACGCAAATTTTTGGTTCTCTGATCCCTCCATTTAGAGAACTTTTCTAACAATTATTCTGCAGATTTTTGTGCTTTATGGTTGAAATCCCGCGAAGCTGTTCAAAATAGTGCGTCGTTTTAATAGCAGTCCGGTGCACATTGCACGTGTTCAAACTTGAATTTGCAAATAGTTACTTTTATAAATTAAAGAGTTTGTTTTTATTTGTTATCACTACAACCAAGTGGTGAAGTTATAATTTCAATCTTGTCTACCTTTGTGGGCTAGAAGCTCAACTCATGCAGGAGTAAATGTGATTGTCAGACATGTTAGTTTACGAGGCCGAATTGATTTATCCTCAATTGGGACATTTATGAACGCCCGGTTTCTGGAACTGCTCTGCTTGGAATTGTTAAATCCCAATGATCTATTCAACCGTTGAAATGGCACTTTGAACAAGAATATGCCAAATTTATTTGACGTGTCCCATAAATATTCCATTTTCGTTTTAATACGGCTTGATCAATGTGCATAATCGACATTGCGAGTCCAATGCTTTCCCGAATTGTGACTTAAAATGAGGTGGTTTTTATTATAGCAATCGGAGTGCTATATTCCAATGTAAATTCCACAACTCAAAAAAATATTTCTATTTAATCATATAAATCGATGTGCCGTGGCCGACCACGCAGCCCACCCAACTTGTCAAACAGGTCTAAATTTTCTCACCCATGAAATTTGAATTTTCATAATGCTTTATTTAACAGACGTGCACCTACATCGTTTATTGTGCAAAAAATAATATATAATTTCTTTGCATATGTTCCCTTCGTAGCTAGTCTTTTTGTTTCATGTGATTGAGTAATTCATGACTTTGCGCTTTTGATGCCGGTCAGTATTGCCTTCCATTTGGCACAGAACAGTCTTCGTTCGCGATACTTGTTGAGTTATTAATTTCCCGAGGTAATCGTACCAAAATCGAGATGTCTTGTCCGTCACTTATTCAGCCTTCCAATGTTCTATAGTACTGCCTTTGCGTTCCTATCTTCGCTTACTTATTTTCTCTACTTGCCCGGCATTGCCACTTCATTATCTACCTCTACGTAAACTACCCTTCCTTCTTCATTCCATAATGCAATATATTGTTTTCCGTGCTTAAGTCTATCGCTAAAATATGGATAACGGATGGATTAACCCCCCCCCCTCCCCTCTCCTCCCCGGTATATGAATAGCATTTCCATTAGAATTCCCAGTCAGAAGTAGCTTCTTTGAACCTCATTGATGAGAAACTCCTACTATGCCGGTCTTTTTACTAACTGCTTTTATTGCCTTCCTTTTTCCTCTCTCTCTGTAGGTCACGTTGATGCTGGCAAGAGCACGTTGATGGGCAATGTGCTTCTTCAGTTGGGTCTAGTGAGTGATAAAAAGTTTGAAAAATACAAATGGGAGTCAACGAAACAGGGTCGGAGCTCCTTTGCCTATGCCTGGATTCTCGATCAAACCTCAGAAGAGCGATCGCGCGGTATCACAATGGACATTGCCCAGTCTGCTTTCGAGACCAAAACTAAGAGGGTGAGTTATGATGCCTGCTTAGTTTCTCCTATCTAACTTCCAACTTCCTATAAACATATTTGCATAAATCAGCTTTTATTGAAGAAATCTTGTAAAGTTTATATGAGCATGAAGGATGGCGCAATAGAAAAATAAAAATTTAATGTTTATAAAAATCAAAAAAGCGAACATCATGTTGCAATGGTCAGTGTTCCCTCTCACTCCTGCGGGTTTTGATTGGATATTTCACCTGGTGGCGTTGCTTGTTTAGTCTACCCCTACCCCATTCTTTAGTAGCAACGTCTTTCATTTCTCTTACTGAGATGTATGTAGGCGTGTCTGCTTAATCCGCTAATTTGGTCTCATTTTTTATTAATTCGTGGCAAATTATTTTATACTTAGCCATTTAATCTTCTTATGTACGTTGATCCTCGTTTCTTGAGCATTTTTTCTATGAAGTGATAACAATTTGCAATATTTTATTTACTGAAGGGTAGAGAAAGGTAACTGGGGGGGGGGGTCATTTCAGAGAGGAAATCAAGAATTCTAAGCCATTGCCATCTCCATTAGCCAAACTAAACCAATGCGGTTCAACTCACTGTAGGTGTGCCGATAAGCATCGACCCACACCCCCCCCCCCCCCCCCCCTCCTGGCGTTTTACTATTAGTGCCCTTTCATTAATCGAAGCTGTGATGCCCATTCGTGTGTTCAGAGTAATCGTGTGATTGAGGCAAAATCTCATTATTGACGATTTAAGGAAGCCAAAACAAGAATTTTCGGTACATTGGAACTAAGTTCACTCCGGTTACCAGCGCTCCTGCCTGGGAATACAAATTTAGCATTTTAATAGTACTTGAAGCGACTGGAAACCGGATACTATTGTCTTTGCTTATTCGATAAATAATGCAGTCATTTCTTTCATTTTTCTGTCATAGCTTGTACTTGCCACCTTCTATTTTCGCTGACTTCTCTTCAATTTCCTTGGTGATTGCTTAAATCATGCCAGTCCACCCAAATTGAAGACTATGTCTATATGGGCTTCCTCCTTCACCTTGGTATCTATTAACTCAAGTGTGGTTCCAGGTTTAGAGTTCGGAGAAAACTGCCTTAGTGATCCATGATCTTTAGAATTTCCCAATATTATTTGATTAAACGTCTTTATTACACCTCGAAGTTCTCCGTTAACTTTTCTTTTACTTTCATTGCCGTAGTCAGCTTAAAATAGTTCTCAGTCTTGTGAGTCGCTCTTTGGCTTCACACATTATGACCTTTACAGTATCTTACTTTAGGGCTTGCATTCTTTCTCATCTATGGTAATGTGAAATCTTTTGTATTTGATGACTTTCTTTTACCAGCGTGCATTCGTACACTGATAGATAATCATCTTCTTATCACCTCATTGGTAAAATTGCTTTTTAAGCTTTTTTTCTAATCATTCAGGTCATTCTACTTGATGCTCCGGGTCATCGAGACTTCATACCCCAAGTAATCGGTGGAGCAGCCTGTGCAGACGTAGCAATCCTAGTTGTCAACGCAACCCACGGGGAATATGAAACAGGTTTAGACAAGGCCGGGGGTCAAACTCAAGAGCACGCGCGTTTAATGCGTCTCCTTGGCATTTCGCGTATCATCGTCGCGGTAAATAAGATGGACACTGTCGATTGGTCACAGGCGCGTTTTGAAGAAATTCGCCAATCCATGACGGCCATACTCAAATCCATCAATCAGACAGACAATATCTTTTGCCCGGTGTCTGGTCTTCAAGGAATTAATATAGTTCCAGAGGCTAATCCTACTGATACCAGAGACATGAATAAAATTGCTCCATGGTACAATGGACCAACTTTGCTCGACATCATAGGTAATCAGTCTTGTTTTTTTAGCTTATTTTTGTTGCTTTTCTACGTCTGTCTTCTCTGAATTGTTTGGATCTACAAAAAGATTTTTTGCCACCCGATTGGTGGTATTATCTAGTTCATTATGATGGCTCACACCGTCCCTCAATGCGTCTGCTTCAAACTGTTTGTTTAAGCCCTAGATTAGGCGAATAAAGTTCTCCTGTGGGTCATTCAAGCCATGATGTGCACTTTCCTGCCGTGTATAGTGCCTTCGTCCTTATTAACACTCAAATTTTAATATCAATCACGATTTATTTCTTAGTCGTATAGGTGTCTCCCACCGTTCTATTACTGTCATTTGCTGTGTTTCCCATTGGTAGTGCCTAAATGAGCTCATTCAACTTGTAATCTTAGAAAATCATCAAAATAAGGCAAACCGCAACAGACCAATTAGATGTGAAACAGTGGAGGGCGGAAAATAGGAACCAAGTGCCGAAGCCAAAGCGTCACGGGTCTTATTTGACCTCTCCCTATTTTTATGAAGTGAATAGCTTGCATATATAATGTCATATTGTTCTAATTTCTGGAATTTACTTCCGCATTCGCGCTTGGGGTTGTGTGCTTTCCATTTAGATCTCCTGGGCTGGTCAGTTTTTTAGCTCTGTGGTTGATCATACCACCTCGAGTTCTTTTGCCCTCTAATAAGAATCAGGTAGATGTGACGAGCAAGGAGTTTTTAACAAAAGGGCTCATCTTAGGTGGTTCTTATAAAAGAAGAACGATTTTCACTCTTATCTTTTACTCCAATGTCTCTTGTTTACTTAATAAACGTATTAAATGTCTTTCGGCCTGAACCGTATTTACATCTTCTAGATCACTAAATCACACCTTGCCTCCTCTTTTAGATGGTTTGGGGAAAGTGGACAGACAAATAGATGCTCCCTTCCGATTCCTGGTGAGCGATGTCTTCAAGACCGTAGGCTCAGCTGCGCCAATCATTGCAGGTCGCGTTGTCTCAGGCGCCATCTCTTCAGGAGGTAATCATCTTCCACCCAGTAAAATAGTCTGTCTTCCCTCCGGTAAAGTGGCCACCATTCGTTCAATACGCCCCCTGGGTACTGCAGTGGAGGTAGAGTCGGGTATTCTGAGGGAACAGCAGACCTACGCTTTCGCCGGTGATCAAGTGGGCTTGACGCTCAACGACGCTGACAAAACATTTGCACCCACGCCTGGTGATGTTATTTGTGATGTGGATTCTAGGCTAGCGCCTGTCGCCACACGAATTCGTGCCAAAGTCCTCGTTTTCGACGTCTCTGTGCCACTGACCTTGGGATCGCCAGTTATTTTTCATCATTTTTGTTCGAATGTTCCCGCGAGAATAACCAAGCTTCTCTCCGCTACGATTAAAAAGAAGGAGCTTACCAAGCCACGGTAAGGGAAATGGCTTCAGTAATCAAACACAGTGTTTTTGAAAAGTAGACGTCTGATTTAATGCAATTTTATCCCCCCCCCTTTCCAGAGTTCTTCCTGGTCGTTGTACAGCTGAAATTGAACTGACTCTGGAGACTCCAGTTTGCGTGGAACTATTTGATGTGTGCAAACCTCTGGGTCGATTTATTCTCCGTGCTGGTCACGAATCTGTTGCTGGCGGAACTATAATAGGAGTAAGTTTTATAATGTTTTTTTTTAAAATTCGGTACAATTTGAAAATGAGGGTGGGTCTATAGTAGTGATGTAGTCTATGAAGTGGGTGGGTAAAGTAAGACATGAGTATTGAAATGCACACTTCGATTGAGTTCATTTAGGCTATGTACAACCTAGCTATAAATCAGGTTAGTCATTGTGGAAAAAAACTTCATTTTTGGTGGCAGTGGTGGAATCACGCAAGCATGTGAACTGCAAACGAATGCGTTTGGTTTGCTCTTGAAAGTCATAATCTTACGCCCACTTAATCAGAAAACTCAAATTTCTCAAACCATACGCTGTTTACTTTCTCCTGATGGGTAGAATTCTTTGCTTTCGAGGTCGAAATGGAACCTTTCAATTTGTTTCCCTAACGTGTTACTTGATTAGGTTGGTGTGAGTACGCAATACCTCTAGATACCATTGTTCTTATTGAGAAAAATCATTTCCTCTAAAATGCGAAACCTTTATTAAGTCAAGTGGTGGGGGGGGGGGGGGGTATGTTTGTGAGGCCTAGACTTTCTGTTAGAATACTACCGCTAACTTTACAGTGGTGTTATTTATTCCGCCTTGATCTAATGTATATCCAACATCTCTAATCGCACACTTGGTAAAATAGCTTGAATTCCTTTTTTTAATTGCACGCTTGCGTATTTAGTAATAAATGGCATCCAGTCTGTCATTCATTGTAGTTACTCAAAATCTGACGTTGAAGTAGCTACGCACAATTATGAGTTATTGTAAAGCGTATTCACCTTGCTGCTGATATTCATAAGTTTGCTCGTTTTTACATTACGATGGACTCGGAGCAAGTGAGTGAAGAAAAGTTGGAATGCATTGTCTTCACGATTCGTTAATTAATTTAGCCACTTCCCCCCCCCCCTCTGTTGTCGCACGTTGACTAAAGAACGAGCCCATCACTGCCGATAACTTCTCTCTTTCAAGTATTGGTCTGTTGACGCGCCAATACAGAAGTGGTTAAAGTGATGCATTGGAAGTTCCATCCTAGTGCCATTGAACGATCAAATATCTATCAAAACCAGTAAGGCTTCGTGCTAATTAGGAAATTCTCACCCCACCTCCGATTTTCCAGAGCTTACTAACGAGTTATTTAAATTTAGTGACAGGTCATTCCACTCCAATGGCAATGGTAGCAAGGGTGTACTCCTTGCTAACTACAATAAGTCCTTTCTTTATTGCAGTATTGATGAGATTAAAAGAAAGGTCGAGGGTTTTTTCAATCTACTAATTAAACGCTTAGGAACTGTCGAAGCGAATAAAGCGATTCGGTCTTATTTATGGGTGGTGCTGGAATTAACTTTCTATTTTATTTACTTTCCAATTGTTTTTTTTATATTTTTGTGCAAATGATTCACGTGGAAAATACATGTATGCCTTAAATTCAAATTTTAAAGTGCAAAATAAGCATTTACCGATGGTTATTTGTGATTGTGGCTTGTAGCTCTAAACTCTGCGTGATTGGCCTTGGCGATATTTGTATCGATGCTTCAATTTCTTTGCATTTGAGAGATTAATTTACTAAATTGTAGTTTATCGACAGCGTAGTATTTAAAACTTTGGTGTTCCTCGTGCTAATCTACTTTTCAATCATTTTCTCTAAACACAGATTGGTTTGCATCCCTTCACTTGTTAACGCCCGTTAGTATTGTTGAGATATTTAATTAAAGGAGGGTAGATTCGAGAATATTTCGATTTTAAAACATTTATTTATTTCAAATGGCAGGCGTTTTGATAGTTATCATTAGCCATTAGCTGACTTCGAACTTCACAGTGGGGAAAAACATCAAAGTGAGAAAAATTCAAAAGGGGGACCGAAGATGTAAAAGAGACAGACGCAATGATGGAGAGTAGGTTAAGGTGAGTACTGTGGAAGTGGTCGGCTATGACATACAGCGGAGTAATACTAGCCTAAAGTCAGAAGTCAACTGCCGGTTAATAGACTTTTTTGCCGTATGAATATACGTTGCCCAGGGTGCACCACGTGGAGGTAATTCTTATCGCATGCCCTCGATTTTTAAACATATGCTCAGCTGTTGAAATGATAACTCCTAATATCTTTCATTTTACTAATCGACCTATCTCTCTTTCTCTTTTTAGTTTGTACGAAAGAAGGAACTTGCAGGTGCCTCTCAAGCGGAGGGAAGATGATTTACTTTGATGCCTCTTCTCCCTTTCTTTTGTCTTTCAGCCGCCAAATCCCCGAGAATTAACAAGTTGAGCTTCTTTTATCCTTTTACAGACTTTGTCCGCCCAAGTTTGCCTTAAAATATTGTTTTCGCTCCCTCAACCTCCCCCCTCCCTCTCTTCAGTTTCATTTTGTATAAAATAAATACTGCCA